ATGCTTCTCGATCATTTGAGGAGTCTTGGAGTACGAGCAGAAGAAGAGTGTATTGTTGTCGAGTCAGCAGGCGACTCTTCTAGGAGTGGATTTACATACGTAACTGAGACATTTTCATTTATTAATATAGTTCACACAGGTCTGGTACATGTTTATCATTTTTGTGATGCAAAGCTTAAGTATTAAGATGTTTTGTTTCTATGTTCATTATGTTTGAACTGAACTAACATACAGTATATGATCACAGATCCAGCAGAAACTGAAGTCTGTAGGACTGTTGGATCATTATTCAGAGGTACGAGAGTTCATTAATGCTGAAACAGTCAATCTGCAGTGCTTTGTCAAGAACTGATCATCATTTTATACCTTTGATTTCATTTAGAAAGTCTTGATTCTGTTCATCTGTCCATCTTTCCTGCAGAGATTTTGATCATTCTTAAGACTGCAGTGTTTGCTGCTCCTACTGTGATTCTTCTTCAGATCATCTGTGCAAGAAGAGCTGGTGAGTTCTTCAGATGATTCACATTGATCTGGAACAATCTGCACTCACGAGAGCTCAGTAAATGCTTTTGTGTTGAATTATTTTGCAGGGAGGAAGGACTCGCAGCACCCAGAGGAAATAGAGATTAATACAATATCAGGATAAAATACTCTACAAATAACAGGCCAGATTACAGCAAGATTTATCTTCATATCAATTAATTTTACGGATATTTGCATACAGTTTTGAAGGATCTTTTCCAGTGCTCCATACTGTACTGAATACATAAAATATAATATTAAATCCTTACTTATGAAAATTATATGAATGATTGTCTTTCCACCTACATCATGCTGCAACATGTTTTTATGTCATGCATGCATAAATATAGATTCACAATTTGGTCTTCAAATGTTTGCTGAATACTTATTTGAGTCTTTTTCACAGTCTAAAAGTGTCAAGGGTATTTACATATAAAAAAAAACACATCTCTTGGCTAGATAACTTTAGCTATAAGATTTTTTCCTGCAAGCTAATATATGCTACTGCAAAATTCAAAATCTATAACAAAACAGCAACTGCAAGCAGGGCCGGATTAGGAATTCAGAGGCCCCTGGGCACAATGTCTTGTCCCCATATTGTGTCATTCACAATAAACATAATCCCCGATTCCCCGCCTATGAATTACAGCTATGTAAGTTACGTGTCCAGGAACACAGTGGAATATTCTGGACTCCCTTCTCAGGTTTGGCTCCAGTATATTAAATAAATGCAAAAAAAAAAGAAAAAAAAAGACTAATAGGCCATATGCCTAACAATAAATATTCAAATGAATGGTGCTCTTCTGAAAACGGCCAGCTGGTGGCGCTTGCGAATTCTTTGGTGGCACAGCGTTTTTCCAGCTGAAGATTTGGTTGCTATGATGTGGAATATTCACGGCAGTAACGTATTACTAATATCTCATTTTGAAGAATATAACTGAATATAAAAATGCAGTAACCAGTAATATTAACTTCTCCATTGTTGCTCAGTTGTTGTGCAAGTAGATGGTTGGTCGGTGTAGCATTTGTCCCAATGATTGGATGGCTTGTGACAGTGACGAGCGCTGCGTTTTACCCAAAGTTGAACAGTAATCAAGTTTGCTGAATACTTATTTGAGTCTTTTTCACAGTCTAAAAGTGTCAAGGGTATTTACATATAAAAAAAAACACATCTCTTGGCTGGATAACTTTAGCTATAAGATTTTTTCCTGCAAGCTAATATATGCTACTGCAAAATTCAAAATCTATAACAAAACAGCAACTGCAAGCAGGGCCGGATTAGGAATTCAGAGGCCCCTGGGCACAATGTCTTGTCCCCATATTGTGTCATTCACAATAAACATAATCCCCGATTCCCCGCCTATGAATTACAGCTATGTAAGTTACGTGTCCAGGAACACAGTGGAATATTCTGGACTCCCTTCTCAGGTTTGGCTCCAGTATATTAAATAAATGCAAAAAAAAAAGAAAAAAAAAGACTAATAGGCCATATGCCTAACAATAAATATTCAAATGAACGTGTCCATCAAAGCATTTTTTGCCAGGTGCTCTTCTGAAAACAGCCAGCTGGTGGCGCTGGAACTCTTTGGTGGCACAGCGTTTTTCCAGCTGAAGATTTGGTTGCTATGATGTGGAATATTCACGGCAGTAACGTATTACTAGTATCTCATTTTGAAGAATATAACTGAATATAAAAATGCAGTAACCAGTAATATTAACTTCTCCATTGTTGCTCAGTTGTTGTGCAAGTAGATGGTTGGTCGGTGTAGCATTTGTCCCATTGATTGGACGGCTTGTGACAGTGACGGGCGCTGCGTTTTACTCAAAGTTGAACAGTAATCAAACATAGTCTCGGCTCCAAAAGAAAAAAAAAAAACAGAGCAAATGAACTTATAAAATATTATGATGGCAGTGCATCAAAACGCAGTGTCATCAGTTTGTCAAAAAGAACACAGAATGTTTTACGCACCATTAACACATGAGCAGGTGTACATCTCTTTCGTACCAACTAACATCTTGAAAATACGAACATTTTCATGAGTTCGAAAGTTTATGTCAGAACGGCTTTATGAACGATTCACACAAAAATTAGTTCTGCTCGTGTTTCATGAATGAGGCCCATAGATTGGCGGACTCGAACTCGGGTCGATCGCGTCAAAAGGTAATTCTCTGAGTCTGACTCTCTACTGCCTACACCACCGAAGTCATTGAACTCAATGCGTCTTTTTTAATATTGAGTGTCAACCAGACATTGGTGGGCAGAGCTACTGTAAATAGCGTTTGCAAACAAGCGCACTATTTACACTTAATGTAAAGACACTCCAAATTGTTTTTCTTACCCTCGCTTGGGCCCCAAGTGTGCATGGGCCCCTGGGCCTGTGCCCATAATGCCCATTGGATAATCCGGCCCTGACTGCAAGTCCACATTTTGCTGCCTGGATTCCAGTTTCTGTGAATTGCAGAGATCCATTTGCTACTATTTTTGTAGTTGTGGGTAATGTATAAATTAGACCGGTCCAGTTTCTTGTCTAGTTATATATAAATCACAAAACAGCTCTTTCCCATTTTAGATGTTTATAGTGTTTTCATAGCATTCAAGCTGAACTCTAACGCTGTCACTCATGCAGTGTCTCAATCAGCTCTCTAGCTCCTGAGTGCGTGAGTCTGCGCAGCGCTGATGCATCTCGAACAAGCATTTAGACCCTTTTCACATGACGTCACGCAACTTCTGTTCTGACTCGAAGCAGTGTATTCTTACTTCCGCCGGCACAGTAAAGCACTAGCGCGATCAGCATGGAGTTCACCCAGACACTTATACATCTGTCACAAATACGATTAGAGGATGACTGCAGCTGTCTACTCTCGTCCTCATTCAAGCAGAGGCGTCTGGCATCTCAAACGACCTTACTGAACAACGATCTCCGAGATCTGCTGCTTGAAGTCGAGGGAGGAGTTTAAAACAGAGCAGTGTTACTTTCTGATTGCCGCGACTCTAGTGAAGTGTTTGCTGTCTTTATTGCAGATGAAGTTGGTTAGATATATTTGTCAAAAAAACAAACGTTTTAGATATTTACATGTGGTAAAAGAAAGCCTTTTCATTCAGTAATTTATGCACTGCTCAATACAGCGTCTCTATGTACAAGAATAAAGTTCAACAAAACAAGCTTAAGTTTACATAAAAAGCTTTTACTGTTAAAAGCAGATTTGTGAGCATGTGTGTAAATAAATAGCCTATAAAACGCACGTCAGCTGTTTTTTTTAGATCACATTGCATATAGCCTATAACAAACATAAAATAAAATCGATCATATCACGGCGGTCCTTCTTGCATTGTTTCAATATAGTAATTTATGCACTGCTCAATACAGCGTCTCTATGTACAAGAATAAAGTTCAACAAAACAAGCTTAAGTTTACATAAAAAGCTTTTACTGTTAAAAGCAGATTTGTGAGCATGTGTGTAAATAAATAGCCTATAAAACGCACGTCAGCTGTTTTTTTTAGATCACATTGCATATAGCCTATAACAAACATAAAATATGATCGATCATATCAATAATAATTCTCAAAGAAAAAGAGGGTGTACATGTAAAGTCAAATTAAACGGAGGAATTAAAGTAAATGTAGAGGTCCATAGTTCTGTAGCACATACGGCTTGACGGCGGTCCTTCTTGCATTGTTTCAATATGAAGCAATTTTATTCTTAACTGGATAATATTGGGTTTCTTTTCAGATTTATGGATGTGCAAATATACACAGATAATTTACAGTGTACTCACTATTACAATCATCACAGCGACAACTGAAATAAATCAAATAAATTATCCAGGGAATTACATAAACCATAATAACAAGTGAAATGGTTTTAAGTATATATTTCGTGTGGATACATAATCTTTATCATACAAATCTGAAAGCAAGTCTATAATATTGCTACAGTTGCTGCAAGCTAGCCTCCCAACCATCAAAAGCAGATGTAGAATATCATTCACAAAATAACCTGACTGTAAGTACACTAATTTTATTAACTAACGTACGCCTGTATATTTCAAGTTTTTCCTGTATTTTCCCGAGAAGTCTAAAGGTATAACGGAAGTACAGATACACTTCTTTGCGTAAAAGCGGAAGTTAGCTGAAGTCATTGTGAAAAGGGTCTCTTGTAGAACGTCACCGCTGGCATTAATCAACAACAGGCGGGACCACTCTCTTTTTGATATTATTTTTATTCTCTTTAAACACATCGTTCTTTTAAATGATCTTACAACATATCAGACAAATATTAATTATAAATGTTAACTACATGTGTTCATCACCTGTCTAGCCATGTGTATTTATACTGAAATATACTTAAAAAAAAGTTTTGTCTTTTCAAATCTTCTATCACGTGTCATTATATAAGGTATATGTCGAACGTCACCTGAGCAAACCCACAAAACAGGTCTCATTGCTTCCGTTTGTTAGAGAACGTGCTAACAGCCGTAATAAATAATAGCGATATCTATGGACTTTTAAAATAATCAGTTAAACTAGCTAGCTGTTTTTATGGTTGACATTTTATTACATTTTTATATCTAAATGTTATGAAAAGAATAAAAATAAACAACTTTTAGATATCAGTCCGCATATGTGATGGACATTGGTTATGGTCATCTTTGGTATCTACTTTGAAGGCATCTTGAGTAAAACCGCTTCATATTTAAGGAAGCATATGCAAAACGTTTGAACCGGAAGCAGCG